TAGTTTGATCGAGCAAGTGCTTTTATGCACACAAAGGTGAGATTCCCATACATCAAAGGTGCGTTATGTGATGAATGTGTTATTCTTTTTCGAGTGCTTGCTCATGTTGATTCCATTCTAAGTGTACGTGTGCCCACGTGCACAGCCATCAGAGATTTTTGCCTGTAGGCCCAGCTGTGACGCCCTCTAGAGTGCTGTGCTCATGTCGCGGTATATCAGGCGCCACCAGCCCATACCCTCTCAGTTCCTTCTTACCACCCATTGTGGTCAGTCGGAGTGCTTCTCTTGCTTGACAAGAGCTAGCAGTTTTCTTCCCTTGGACTTCATGCCTTTGGGTCTCTTGTATATTATTGATAGAGTTAAGTAGTTGTTAAGAAATTATTAAGTGTTAGATAATAGTTAGGGTCCCAGCAGAGACTTTGCCCCAGGCAGGGCATATCCCAGGCTCTCAGGTTTAAGCCCTGCTCAGACTGCAGCAGGCCTATGCCTGTGAGTAACCCCCATAACAGCTGCCTTAAGTGCTTAGGGGAGTCACACATCAAGGAGCGTTGCCGGATCTGCAAGAACTTTCTGCCCTGCACCCAAAAGGAGAGGGATATTCGCCTCAGGGTTCTCCTGATGGAGTCCGCCCTCTGCCTGGCTTCCAAGCCTTCTACGCAGCTGCACCAAGCCCCTCGATTGCCATGCACAGCGTGCCACTGGCACCTGGCTCTTCCCAGCACTGTTCACCATCGCTGGTACCAAAGAAGGCTAAAAAGCGCTCTCCAACATCGAGCAAGAAAGCCCAGGGGTCATCCAGCAAAGGATCCGGGCCTGCCCGCCAGCCTTCTCCGGAGCCATGTGAGAATGCCTCCACGACTGGGGCTCTTAGCCCCCTTAAACATCTGCCACTGACTCCTGGGCGCGGTTTGGGACCTGCCACCCTGCCTGCACCATTGTCATCCCAAGCCCAGGTGCAGAGAGAGCACAGGTCTCCACTTCCTCCTATGATGTGTTTGGTGCTGCAGGACCAGGCTAAGGCTCCCTGAGAGGGCAAGCCTGCCGTTAAGACCCCTCAGGGGGCGGGGGAGCACCGCCAGTCGCCAGACAAGAAATGTCGATCTCCACTGTGTAGAGAATCCTGAGGCAGGTCCCAGTCTCGTCGTCGGTCGCCTGGACTCTCCTCCCAGTCTCCTCAGCACTACTCTCCGGCACGGGGTCAATGCTTCCTGTACTATGATTGGCATTGTTCACCCTCTCACTGATCTACCTCTAGACGTCGATCCCGATCACTTATTGCCGCTCACCACAGCACCGGTCCCCATGGCACTGTTCCCCCTAATGCCGGTGTCCCTGGCATCAGGACCAATCTCCCCATTACAGTCACCAGTTAGTTTCACCTGGCCAGTGATCACCGGTAGCCACGACCAGTAAACAGACTCAGGCATCAACGACTCCTCCCTGGTCGCTGGAAGGTGGTTCCTCTGGCACAGAGGCCCAGTTCAGCCCATTGCCCCAATCTCAGCAATGAGATTGGGCACCAGAGCCTGCTCCGTCGTCCACGGAACCGCAGAGGCAGCAAGGCCAGTGACCAATGCAATGACCGTATTGGGGAGCTTGGGGCATTCTGGTGTTGATGATGCCCCCCTTCGCATCGCTCCTCAGTGGCTGCGTCCGTGCAATGGACTACGGCCCCACCGCCTGGTACTGGAAGCCCATTCTGAGGTCGAAGTAAAGGATCCACTAGACCCCTAAACCTCCCTCTCCACCGGAGGCCAAGTCTTCTTCATCTTCCCCAGATGAGGCGGTTGCGGGACCTTCCAGGGCTAGCCCCCTGGACGACTTTAGGGAGCATCAAGCCCTTATCCGGTGGGTGGGCGAGAACTTGGGTCTTGAAGTGCAGGAGGACACCCTCTTCAATGTCCTCTTGGCCTCCACGCCCGCCCCGGTTGCTCTGCCCATACACAACGGGGTCCTCAAGATCAGTAAGTCACTGTGGCAGACCCCATCCTCATTCCTGCCCACCTCGAAACAGGTTGAGAAAAAATACTTTGTGCTGGCCAAAGGTTTTGAGTACCTTTATATTCACCCACCTCCGGGCTCGCTGGTTGTGTCTGCGGCCAATGAAAAGGACAAGCAGGTCGTCACCGCCTCTACTCCCAAAAAAAAGAAGGCAAAAAACTCGGATTTATTTGGCAGAAAAATTTATTCAACAGCCAGCCTACAATTCCAGGTGACGAACCATCAGGCCCTGCTGGGCTGATATAATTTTAATCTTTGGGACAGTCTTGAAAAGTTCCAGGATTTCGTTTCTCAGGGTCAGGCTCAAGAATTTGACACCCTGGTAGAGGAAGGTTCTGCAACAGCCAGATGTTCGCTGCAAATGGCATTGGATGCGGCAGACTCAGCGGCGAGGGTGGTCGCATCGGCTGTGGTCATGTGGCATAGCTCCTGGCTCCAGACGGCGGGCCTCTCCCAGGTCTCGATTCAGGGCTTTCCCTTTGATGGAGTTGGGCTGTTCTTGGATCAGACGGATGCCAAACTGCACCAGTTGAAGGACACTAAGATTACTCTTTGCTAGTTGGGCACATACACCCTGCAGTCTGCCAGAAAGCCATTCCAGCCTCCGCCGCTGTCAAGGCCTTGGCAAGCCCAGCAGGGATCTGCAAGAAGAAGGGATGCTGGGTTTAGCTGTCGCCACCCTTCTTCCTCTCACTCGCCAGCCCAGCCCTGACCCGCTAAGCACCCAGGTGGCCAAAAGCGATCGTTTTGAGGGTGCACTCAAGAGTGACGTCCCAGTCATCTGGCTGGATCCTGCCTGTCCTTTCCTCAACTGCCTTTCTCCCTACTGCTCAGCCTGATCGCGAGTTACGTCGGACCGCTGGGTCCTGGACATAGTAGCTTGAGGCTATACACTGCAGGCTATACCCTGCCCCCTTGCTTCTCCATCCCTCTTCAGGGACCCCTCTCATGAGCAACTCCTGGTTCAGGAGGTTGGCAAGTTCCTGCAGCTGGGGACTATGGAGGCAGTTCCTCGGGACATGGAAGGAAGAGGACTTTACTCCCGATACTCCCTAATCCCGATGGCCAAGGGGAAGGCTTCAGACCTATCCTGGACCTGCATGGCCTCAACAAGTCTCTTAAGAAGTTGAAGTTCCACATGGTCTCCCTGGCCTCCATTATCCCCTTCCTGGATCCGGGGGACTGGTACGCCACTCTCGATTTAAAGGATGCTTATGTCCTTGAAGGGCCAAAATCCATTTGCTGTGGATGTAAAATCTTAACTACAGTTTCTGCTAAGAACTTTTCATATAGACCCGGAGTCCACAGCTTGGCCTGGGGTATGAGGGCTAGCTAACAAAGAACAATACATAGCTAAGAGAAAGCTGGGGTAAACAGACAACCTTGTGTGTTTCAAGTCAATGAGTGGAGTCAGCATAACTCCAGATGGTAAGCTGTAACTGGGTGTCCTTATCACAAGTTATAGACACACAAAGCACTGATAAGGACCGCCAATTAACTCCCTGGTACAGATGCCAGAACAGAGCTCAGGGGGAGATCCAACATGATTGACGTGGGTAATGACACCCTCCCCTCACAGATGTATGCCAGTCCTAGTTCACAGAAATGCAAGGGTAAACTTATAAACAATTCACAAGACTGTGAATGGCTATCCAACTACAGAAGCAGTTTCTCCTCCCTTGGTGTTCACACCTCAACTGCTAGCAGAGCACCTCACCCTCCCTGATTGAACTAACTTCATTATCTCCATACTGATTTATACCTGCCTCTGGAAATTTCCATTACTTGCATCTGATGAAGTGGGCATTCACCCACGAAAGCTTACGCTCCAATACTTCTGTTAGTCTTAAAGGTGCCACAGGACCCTTTGTTGCTTTTTACAGATTCAGACTAACATGGCTACCCCCTGATACTTATAAACAATTCTTATTGTTAAATACTAATTACTGCTTTTTTGCTTTAAATCTCCAGGAATGTACCTGTTGGTCAACCGGGAGAGCTGCTACCTCATTCCCCTGGACCCCAAAATTAGGATTTAACCTATACACTTTAATAGACATGGTTTGAGGGTAATTACCTGTGTGTCAGCAATATGTTAATTTGAACCATGGGCGGAGCCATTATGTAATCTTTTAGACCACTGGCTTATTGTACTTATCTTGTCTTGCTGCTAGAACCTACCAGGGGCTTGAGAACTCCCTCCCATTGCTTCTTTCCACCCATGGCACCCTATATAATCTATTGTAATTAATTGTTCTGCAGTGTCTCTGAGCCTGATAAGCAAAGTGACACTCCGCCAGCGCTGTGCGTAATAAACTCCTATGTTTGACTCTACACAGTGTACATTTCTGATCCTTCAGTCCTTGTCTCCATATTCCCAGGACACAGATGTTTCCTGCATTTCATAGTGGCCGGGTGCCACTTCCAGTTCATGGCACTACCCTTTGGCCTGTCCTTGGCCCCCAGGGTGTTCATTAACTGCATGGTGCTGGTAGCAGCTTACCTCAGACATTGGGGGTCCAGAATTTCCGTATCTTGATGACTGGCTCATCAAGGGCAGGTCTCCAGAGCAGGCACAAAGAAGCCTTGACCTGGTGCGCTCCACCTTCAGCGATCTGGGCCTGTTAATAAACATAGAAAAGTCCACGTTAACGCTGGTCCAGTGCCTAGAGTTTATTAGAGTGGTTCTCGACTCCATGCGAGCCAGGGCCTTCCTTCCAGAAGCGTCCTTTCAGGCCATCTTGCATCTCATTTCCCACATAATGACGCATCCGGTCACCACGGCCCACACATGCTTGCTGCTGATGGGCCACATGGCAGCATGCACATACATGGTCAGTCACGCCTGGCTTCATTTGCAACCCCTGCAGATCTCACTGGCAATGGTTTATGTCCCAACAGGCACCCCCTGGACCGAGTGGTCATGGTACCAAACCACATCCTCTTGTTCATGGACTGGTCGCTAGACCCCCAAGTCAGTGCTGCAGGGAGTTCCCTTCATGTCCCCATCACCGTCACTCAGCCTGGTCTCGGATGTGTCGGACCTGGACTGGGGCGGGGTCCACCTGGGTGCGCTTAACATCCAGGGCAGCTGGCTGCAGCACGATCTAGCTCTTCATATCAGTGTCACAGAGCTCAAGGCAGTGCACCTGGCCTGTCAGGCATTCTTGCCTCACCTGAGAGGCAAGGTGGTGAAGGTCCTCATGGATAATATGGCTGAAATGTATTACATCAACAGGCAGGGCGGCGCCAGGTCTTCAGCCGTGTGTCAGGAGGCACTCAGCCTTTGGAACTTTTGCATGCAGCATGCCATCCACCTGGTGGCCGCCCACCTACCTGGAATCAACACTGTCCTGGCACATCACCTCAGCAGGATCTTCTCATCTCGCCATGGATGGTCCCTCCATCTGGAAGTGGGGGACTCCCTAGGTGGACCTGTTTGTGTCCAGATCGAACAGGAAGTGCCATGTATTCTGTTCCCTGTATGGCAGAGACAAGGGACTCTGGAGGACCCAAAAGGAGTTAATTCACTGACAAAAAACTTCATTAGCACAGGGCTAGTCTGCACTGCACTACATCGGCGCAGCTGCACTGATCAGCTGCGCCATTGTAGCACATCTGGTGAAGACGCACTATGCTGACAGGAGAACATCTCCTGCCAACTTAGCACTAGTTTGGACAGCGCTTAGGTTGATGTAAATTGCGTTGCTCGGGGGGGAGGAGGTGGCTTTTTCATACCCCTGAATGACGTAATTTATATCAGTTTAAGCGGTAGTGTAGACCAGCCCACAGAGTTAAGATTGCCTGGTAATATTTTGTCCCCTTCCAGGACACTGAATTCAGCAAAACTCAGACTTCTGAATACCATGAAATTCAGAGTTATGGTACATGCCAGTGCAACCTCAACTATGCCCCCTGGAGCTGGCAATAGCCACTGGGAATTATCTGCATGTGCTCCAGCTGCATTCACTGTGCTAGGTTTAGATGTACTGAATGGTGGCAGGATTAGTTGGAGCAGCTTGGAAGAGCTGTGATTATGAAATGAGGTGATCTAGGGGCTTGGGACTGCCCCTCTGGGTGGGTCTGAAGGGGGTTGTAAAATTGCAGCTGCGGTGTTCTGTCTCTGCAGTGGTTGAGTGTAGGACAGGAATAGGTAGCTCCTGTTCAGTACAGTGCAAAATCAAAATACGAGTCTGTGTTATGGGTGCACTGGGACATTGCTTGAAGAGGGCAGAGTTAAGACTGTGAACATGTATTTCCTGGTGTTCAGAACTCTGAGTTTGGCTGAACTTGATGTTCTGGGAGGGCACGAGATCCCACCAGGAAACCGTAACTCTGTGTTAATGAAGGTATTTTTCAATGAAGTTCCTGGCTTTTTGAATAGGTGCTGGGAGGTTAACCCTTTATTCCCCATGCTTTCATTAGATTTAATCTTTCATGCTCTCCAAAGGCACTCCTCAATCAGGGTTGTGTTCTTCGCACCATTGCAGGAGAGTATTTTGCCTGGGAGTATCAGAGACCTTGTTCCTTCCTGATGGTGTGAGAGGGGCTGAGCTTGCTGCTTTGGGTTTATGACTTGACTGTTTCCTGACTTCCCTTCAGGCTAAACAAGAGCCTTAAACCAGAGAGCAAGAAACACTGAGGCACCATGCTCATGAATATGAGCAGGGCCACCTTCCCTTTCATGTCCAGCCCAGTTCCTGGAAATGCTCGCTGAGCCCCCTGCAGTGTGGGGCAGCCTTTAACAGGGGCATGCCACAGCAATATGTCAGGTGTGATCTGCCCCAGCATTCATAGATTCATAGATTCATAGATTCTAGGACTGGAAGGAACCTCGAGAGGTCATCGAGTCCAGTCCCCTGCCCGCATGGCAGGACCAAATACT